GTTGGTCACTGAATCTGAGGCGGAGGAGAAAGGTTCTCTTCCCTCTCTTCTATGAAGCTTTGGTTAGGGTTCTTTCTGGATAAATTTTCCTGCGATCGAGCTGCTTTGTTCTGGATTTTGGCGTGATTCTTAAGCTTGTCGGAAACTTGCTGGTATCGCCGGAGATGATGACCGGACCGGCTTGCTGCGACTTCACTGTTGGACGTAAGAGCTGTGGGACCGTTTGACTTTTGAGGCAGGCCTTTCTCGCTCCAGCGGCGCATAGGATCTGGAGGTTTCTACTTTCTAGGGTTTTCTCTTACGACGGGTCGGGCTGCTGGCTTGCAGTTGGGCCGCATGTCTCTTTTGGCACAAGACACTTGGGCCTTTCCTTTTTTGGACTTCTTTGCTGCGCCGATGTTCTTCTTTGTGGGCGCTGGATCCCTTTTTCGATTGTGGTTTTCCCTGAATGCGCACTGTTGCTGCTGTCTTTTACTAGGTTTTGGGGGCTGATCGTGGGCTGGGGAATTTCTTGCAGTTTTTGGACAATGTTTTTGTGATTTGGCTTGTGGACTTGGCCTGGGGCTTTTGCTAGATCTCGGTTAGTTGGCTCTTGTTTTTTGTTTGCGTTGGAACTTGTTGTTAGCTTAGTGAGCCGGGGACTTGTCTTGTGCCATTTCTAATCAAATTCTCCCCTACCTTGCACTGAAAGGGGTGGGGGGATAGGATACGGTATGGGTAGGTGTTCACTATCTCTGATCTTTTTGTTTTTGTTTTGGATTTTTTTCGGACAGGGGTATGGCCCGTTGACTGTGTATTCTTTTTGGATGAGTTCAACATGTACATTTTACCCGTCAATGTTACCAAATGGGCACTAAATATAGTCGTGAGAAGTAATGTCCATCTTAAATGTGAAAATAGATTATATTGATGGAATAATTCAGGTCCGGCCAGGCCGGACCACTGCCCCCGTCCGGCCTCCTCCATTTGGGGGCCTTCCCGATGGTATTTTTTGCTCAAATTTTTTGTGTAGGTTCCTCATCAAGTCTAGTTTGTCCATACCAAATTTCAGCCAAAAATTCAATCGGGAAGGTCGTCAAATGATTTTTGCAAGTTAACTGGTCCGGAATATGTATTTTCCGGACCAGTTAACTTGCAAAAATCATTTGACGACCTTCCCGATTGAATTTTTGGCTGAAATTTGGTATGGACAAACTAGACTTGATGAGGAACCTACACAAAAAATTTGAGCAAAAAATACCACCGGGAAGGCCCCCAAATGGAGGAGGCCGGACGGGACTCCGGTCAGGTATACCTGACCGGAAGACTACTCTATATTGATGAAATCATTTTGACGCAGTATGCATTTGCTTATTGTTATTACACTTAGTGTTACAAACAGCTGACCGTACCCGATCTAATTGTGTGTATATTCACCATGCTGAAGGAAATCTCTTCTTGATTGATAAAGTAATGCTACCTAATAATTTCATTGTAATTCTGCCTATGAGATGTTTGATAAAAGGTTTAGGTCGTTTTTCCGTGTAGCAGCTAAACCTTAGTATTGGTACTCTCTGTGTGATGTTTGTTAAAATATTTAGGTCATTTGTCTGTGATTAAATAGCATTAGACAAAATAAACACTGTTGACTTCTTGCCCACCATATTATTGTTCCCAGATTCCAAAAACAGAGAATACTAAAGATTGCGATAATCTCTTCATCTGGGTCCTACAACATTGATTTTCTTCTTTCCTTCAAACATTTGTGATGAAGCGATACAATTATAATGAAACGGCATCTTGCTTAATAGTATTGCTATCAGGCCAGCCTCTGTTATTATGCTATTACGGTTCGTTAATATGATTATAAACTTGAAAATTTTGATTATAAACTATTTCATTTGACCTTAGGATAAAAGTTGTATAAACTATACTGCTATGTGTACCTCTTATTAAGCATAAATGAATAACTTATTCCCTTTTTCCAGTTTCGAAGTTTTAAAACTATCCCTATACTAAGATTAGATAGTAAAATTGCTTTAATCTTGAAGTTAACTTTGTTTTGACGAATTGCAGTACATGGCAATATGCGTTTTAATCATTATTTTATTGGATTCCAGTACATGAATAAATTCCACTTTTTATGAGTAATATATGTCATGTTATGCGTTATTGAGCTTAGTGTAAATTAGTTCTCTTATCTTCATTTTGTGTACACACTATTGTGAGCTATGATGGATTATCCAGACATTACATATCTATTTAAACAAGATGCATTGTTTGGATTTCAAAGGAATGAACTTATAATGTGTGTTGTCCCTGTAAACGCCTCCATTTATGGAAGTCTTTGTCTCTCTGATTCAGGACAATTTCCACATGTATGAATTGGCATGGAATTGAAGTAAATGCATTATGTGGAAAGTTGTTTCCTTTTCTCCCTTATCTGAATCCCTCACAATATTTGATGCTTTGTGTTGCAGGTTCACAATTTCTTAAAGAAGCTCTCTGAGGAAGTTTCATTGTGTTTGCTGGGATGTGGTGTTAAAGGCCGCACTTTTATCCTTAAGCAGGTAATCTTATGGAAATTTTTTTACATATTAGATTGCACTCACTTCTGTAAATTTTACTTTCTTTGATATTTGATGCTTAGATTGCATTCAGTTTAGTTTGAAAAATCACCACTTAACTTTTATTTGCAACACACCTGAAGAACAATTTGATTCTTATTCGTGATTCTCAAGTGTGAAGTGTCTATTCATATATTGTATTTAGCTTGGAAATCGAATAAATGACTTTGTTCAATAGTTAATTAGTGTAATTTTCATGTTTTACCTCCAAAATACTTTCGTTATTGGGCAGAAGAGTAAATCTCCAATTGATTATGACGGTAAGAGTAAATTTCATTCTGTGATTAACTTAATTGGTGGCAAATATCGGGCCATTAGAGTATCATATTTTCTATTTAATTTACTAATTCCACGTGTATTTTTCTACTAGAACTATCATGGTCAAATGCTGCTTTTATTCCATCCGTCCCACGACAAACTTTACATTTCTTAGTCCCAAAATAACTCCTATTTGATTTGATTTTTAAGATAAAGGTGTTGTTGTTCAACTCATAATGTTTCACTTTCTTAATTTTGTGTGTCAAGTAAAAATCTGAATATATTCGGCTAAGGAAGTACTTCCTTTATTTTCAATAAATGTAAAATTTTGTTGTCTCCCGAGCAGGGATTTTTTAACATCAAATAGAACTATAGTGCTTTATAAATACATTAGAACTAAGATATTCTTTCATCCAATTATCCAATTGCTTATCTTTTCAAAAAATCAGCCAAACTTCTGTGTGTAGTGATTAGGGCTCAATGAGACTAAACTCACCAATTAGCCATTCTGAATTCTTATCCATTGCTCATTTATTCTCCTGGCTCAGTTGACACTCTACTAAGTATACTATTGATCTTGAATGTCGAGATACGTACATTTCCTCAACTTTCATGCCCATTTAGTCTGTTTTCATGGCCTTCACTTATGCTATGATCATTATTTTCACTATGGGTAAATGTTGATGTCTTGGTGCAGATGACTCTGATATTAATTAGTTTAAAATATGCCTTTTGAATATGGTGTCTAAATATATATCAAACTATTTCAACATTCAAGGATGGAAGAATGATACAAAGAATGTCAAGTAAATTATCTATGTCAGCATCAACTAAATTATCTAACCGCCTAATATCAAATTAGCTGAATATATATGCTTTGAGCGTCTTTAGTGAGTGAGCTTAATACTGTATATGTTTTTAAAGTCTGATTTTTTCTCTCCAAATCTTTCAGATAGATGGAATTCAATACTTTTGGTCCATAAACATTGGCCTTGGAGCTTCTGATTATTGCCTTGATGAATATGAGAATCTTAATACGATGATGTAACTTCTAAGTTTTTTTTTTGGAACAGTAACTTTTGAGTTGAGGGTGTACTTTGTAATGAAAATGCAGAGTAGCAATTTACCTTCATGTTGCACCTATTCCTTTTTACTTTTGAATTTTCTCTTCATTATTCTTTTAATTGAAATAGTGAATATAACATTATATGGTGAAATAATCTTGGCTTGACTATTCTTCAAGAGGGTTATAGAATATTGTAACCTTGGGAAAAATACGTTTCCTGTGTAACCCAATTAGGTGACTTTGGCACTTCTTTGAAAATAGGAAATATTGATCTCACCAAGTGTGAAGAAAATTGGGGTATGGCCGTATGGTTGGATAAGTGGTGGATAAGTGGTGGACATGGTTCTGGCAGGAGAAGCGCAGGTTCGACCCGGAGTCCCGGATAAATCAGGGTCAGGGACGGTTCCCGCCTCCAAGTACCCGGGCGGTCCCAGTTCCGGTCCTAGGTTGGATATGATGGAGATGAGTACAAGAACATAGATCACTATAAGTTAAACTATTGAAATTGTTGTGGCATTCTTTATATAATTGTTTGATAATGTAAATATGTAATTGAGATATTTTTATATTATAGTGCCTTCTTTTTTTAGCTACAACATTTGTGAAATTAACACTATCCACATGTTTCTTTCAAAACCTGTAATGTATCCATGAGGTTTCTAACGGTTAGTTCTAATCCTATTAGTAGAACTATTCGGTATGATGGTGTTTCAGAACGGTATAAAATGGTATGGTACCATTGAAAACACATGCTAAAATTTTTGGACAAATTTTACAATTATTAGATATCACCACACCAACTAATACACATGAAATGTTGATAAAAAATACAAGAAAATGTATACTAAATACTTGAAAAGATTCAAGAGATTGATATTTTTGTATTTAAATTCACAAGTACTAAAGTAGTGCAACTAGACTAACAAACATATAGCAAAATGATGGTACACAAGATAAATATATCTTCAATTTATCAAATTCATGTCAAAATATTAAAAAATGTCATCAAGTTGTTGAATATTATAGAAAAAATAAACTTTTTTTTCTTCTTTGTTTTATGTTAATTTTTTCGGTTCTCAAAATCAAGGATCAGTTCTGTATCCGTTTCAAACGGTACGATTTCGATTCAGGATAAAAACATATAAAAGCTTTTAGATTCCCGATATTCAGTTCAGTACCATGTAATGCATGTATTACGTATAAGTTTGGTACTGGTTCGGTTCGGTTTTTATGACCACCCCTACCCTACATATCACATATATGTAATCTTATATCCCGTGCAACGCACGGGTGGATTACTAGTAATACTTAAAGCCCAAATTTGATAAAATTGGAGACTGCCAAACATCACAATGAATAATTTGCAACGGAGCAGTAGTATCATGTGTAGCATCACTAAAAGGTAGTCTGTGGGATTTACCCAGTTTACAAGAAACACAATCATGATTAAAGGAAGAAGAACTAGTAATTAATTTATTTTGCCTAAGACGACCAAGAACTCTCTCACCATAATGCCCCAGACTTTTGTGCCAAATCAGACCAGGAACTACTCGGGCTTAAAAAGCATGAAAAGGGTACACATGGTCTCTATTAGGTGCCTGAAGAAGAAGCTCCCCCGTTTGATTGTCCATAACAGAAAAAGAATTTTTATAAAAAATAACTTGACAGGCATTATCCACACACAATTTTTGCACAAATAGTAAATTATATTTAATATGTGGGACGTGATAAACAAAGTTAAGATTTAACGGGCGACCATAAGTGACTAGATTTAAATGTCCAATATGAGAAATAGGTAAAGTAGTACCATTAGCGACACATACTTCATTCGGGCCAGTGTAAGAAGTTTTATACGATAGAATACCTTCATGAGGAGTCATGTGAGCGGAAGCCCCAGAATCAGGATACCAGAACGAATCATGTGTCTCACCAGTAGATAGAGCAGCCAGAGCGGGAGTACTGGAAGAAGTGAAACACGAGCAGTGAAGGGCGGAATGACCTGGAGTAAAACACAATTGAAAAACAACCGGAGGTCGCGGGGACTGGTTGGAATTATCCACAGATGGAAAACCTGCACTAATGGTGTGAGTAGCAGAGGTAGGAAAATAATCAGCATAATTAATACCAGAAGTGAAATTACACAATGGTCAGAGTAGCAAAAAGTCAAGATCGTAAAGTATGGTCAATTTTTAACCAGTGATGATAATCAGTTGTGGTGGATGGGGGAACTTGAATGGACCCATCTAGTATCCCCAAGAGACTGTGGGATACTTAGAAGGATTCAAACTGAGTTCTCCATGGTAAATAATCCTCAACGGTCGACAAAACGAGTGGTAACAATATTATTCACATTGGATGTCTTAGCCTTATATTTATGATAAACAGAATTATGAAAATTACACATGAGTCTTGAGATAATACATTATTAAAGTGCACGTAGTGGTCTAATGGATTTAGATGATGATCGATGACATCTACGATGTTTTTTGTTCACATGGATCGATGTGGTGTGGATTGTTCATCTCAGCTTGTTTTTTCATTGCCATCAAAGCATCTTCAAAACATCTGGCTAGAACCTTGGGGTCGGGGATGATGTCTTTGGCAACTAAAATTTGGAGGTATGCCTTGCCATCATAGCTCACCATATATATTGCGATCGCCTGCAAGCATGATGCTGCATTATTAATACCTATCTACAAATAACCTCAACTTCACAAAATATATCATACTTTGTTTTTAGTACTCTCTCCATTTCAAATGGATTAAAAATAGTTTACAAGGTTAATTGAAGATAAAATTAATATTTCCTGGGTAATATTTAAGTTAGAGTTAGTAATTAAAGTTTATGTATTTAGTAACTAAAATGAAAATTTTGTTGTGCCAAAATAGGAGTAAAACATATATAGGGAATGTTCAAAGATATGACTAAACATGTTTTCTTTCACAAATATGATTTCATTGGCATAGTTAAAAGAACAAAAGTTTAATTTCCTTAAATAAGAGTGCACAAGACCTATTTCGGAAAGAAAACAATGGTACTCCTATTTGTGAAAATTCACTATGATTTACTACTATTAAGGGAATTTTCATTTAAAATACTACCTCCGTCCCAGCTTAAGCTTCTCGTTGAAAAATGACATAGTTATTAAAACAATAATAATAAGCTAATTTGAGTATACTTTGAGAAATAGTTTTGATAGTTATATAACCTAGTGAGATCATTGATGATAACTACGGAGTATGATGTTATGTGTATCAGTGTATTATTTTTAATATTTGATTATTAACTTGTTATTTAAGGATGCTAATTATTTCATAAAATTGAAACGAGAAGCTTTAGTTGGAATATTCAAAAAATGCACGTGAGAAGCTTAAAGTCTTAAACTGGACGAAGGGAGTTCACGATACATGATTGCACTAGTAATTAATATCGTACATACATGAGGCAAGCTTGATGTGCATGATCTTATGTACATGATTGGGTTGCCTGCAATGGAGATCTGCTCTTGTGGGCCAATCACATTTGTAATTAGGAATGTTGTGTTACATAAGATCCGATAGTTGAGCATGCTCGCCAGCTATATGCAACGACTTGGATCAGAATGAAACATTTCATACATGCATGCAACAATGCAAACGCCTCTAATATTATGAAACTAAAAAAAATATGGATGTATAAATTAATGTATAGAGTATTAGAGCACCTTAACACCGAGGAATGACATGACAAAATCCCCTATTTTGTAGGAGCAAAGGGCTTCTAAGGATAGTTTTTTCTTGTCAATCATAGATTTGGCTCTCTTGACAAACTGGAGAGAATCATTTGAAGCCTTATGAAAGTAGTATACAGGCAAGAGTACAAACCCAAATTTGTTGCCCCACCCGGTGCTCGATTTACCACTATTCATCAGCTTCGTCATATCCTACATATATATGCATGTCAATTGTCATACTCCCATGCGACATGTGAATTTTCTCTACAACGTACTAGCAAACAATACTTTAATAAAAAAAATCAAAATTTCTAGTACATATTTCTACCGAAGCTACTAATTTCTAGGGATAACATCGCATTCAAAAAAGAAAGCCTCCAATTCTGGTTCATCTATGAAAATATTGTCTAACTCAAGCACTAATATATCCTCCATGCTTCCAAAGTCATCTCCACCAACATCGCACATTTTACTTTTGCCGTTCATATACTTAGCCGTGTGCGAGATTAAAGCATGAAATTTTTTTAGTTTTTCTTTTTTTAAAAATTTTTATTATGTAAAATATGGGAGTTTAAATTTTTTTATATAAAAAGTTGACACGTGTATCCGAAATTTTAAAATAACTACCAAAAAATGGAAACTTTTAATATATTATAGATACGGCCCAGGAACGGACGGTACGAGTATCCTAGAATATCTCGTATGGAACATTTCGAATTTGCTTATACAATAGTCGTTTAGTGATCGAATTATCTGTGTTACATAGCTATTAGGGGTGAGTTCGGTTTATTTGCTTCAGTTTTGACCAAAAACCAATTCAAATACGGAACCAAAGTAGAAAGTTTGGTTTAGTTTTGGTTTGGTTTTACATATCCAAATATGAAGCCACGACTTGATTGGTTCGGTTTGTTAGTTGTTACGGTTTAGTTTCATTTTTTTTTGTTTTTTACTATAAATTATCATTTGATTTAAAATAATACGATAGTTGGAGGGATCAAATATATTACATAAAAAAGAAAACATACTAAAAGAAATAGAACAAAAGAAGAGATAAAAGTATGTATATTTTTAATTTACATTGTTCGTGACTAGTTTGGAAAATTTTCATGAATATATAAAATCTATGTAATATAATTGAGAAGAATATTTATTTGTTCTATCAATAAAAAATGTAAGTTATACGAAGTATAAAAACAAACGCTAATTACTAGTAATAACCAGTAAAAACGTATCATCATCGTTCAATACATTGCAACACACACACACACACACACACACACACACACGTACACACACACACACACACCTACACACCCACACCCACACACATAAAAGACATAATAGAACAATATAGCTACATTATTATAGGTCATAAATGTGTAAATGCATTTATAAACTAAACTAAATACAGCAACAACAACCAATCCTTAGCTTAATCCCAAAAGAACTTGGGATCGCCTAACATGAATCAATCTATGATATCAGTGCTAAAAAGAGAAGAAAGATAAGGAAACAGGTTAAGATAAAATAGATAAGATAAAGATAAATATAAGATGATAATAACATACAAATATAACAAAGATAAAAGATAAAAAGATAAAAGAGCATAAAAAAGATAGAACATAAAAATAACATAAGATCATAAAAAGATAATGAAGATAAACGATAATAGAAAAGTGAGAAGAGAGATAGAAAAGAGATCACTCGTCCACACGAATGTGTGCCCTCCATTTTGTGTTCTCCAAAGCCTAAAGTATTAGAATTAATGCTTAACAATAAACTAAACTAAATATAACATCAAAGTTAATTTTCTAGCACAAGAAAACCAAATTCTATCGATGAAATTAGGATTAATTAGAATTAATGCTTAACAACTAAAAAATAAAATTTCATATTTTAATTTGTTCAGTTTATTTGGTTAGGCTTTTAAGGGTAAAAACCAAAACCGAATCAAACAACTACGGTTCGGTTTGGTGTTTTATATTTAGTTTCAGTTTTTTGGATCCGCATATGTATGTTTTTTTGTGTGCATGTATTTATTGGAATAGTGTACATAAAATATACTCCCTAAAATAGATCCGCGGAAGGAAACCTAATGGGCGACTTGGGGAGCGGGGGAGGGTAAAACCTAGTCGTCTCCCCCCTCTTCTCTTCTTCTCAATCAGTTTTCCTCTCCTAAAAATGAAATTTATCTCTTTTATGTGGTTACTTCCTAGCAATATATGTCTAGGGTTTGTGTATTCCTCATTGGTGAAACCGATTGGACGTTGAAATTTTATTGTAGTATGATGAAAATGCTTATCCTGCTTAATTTGATTGGGAACTTAATTAATTTAACTTCAGACATCAGCTACTTCAAGACCTCAATTATTCGCTCTCCTCCTGAACCACCGTCGTGCTATGAGAGAAAGATAATGTTTGATTGGATCTTCTTTTCGGTGGCTGGTCAAACCGATGATATTTCTAATTTCTTTCCAGTAGCTGGTCAAACTGGGAATTCTAGTTGTTTCTTTCTGGTGGCAGGACAAACCAGATTTTTTATTATTTCCTTGTCAGTGAATGGTGAAACAGATTTATATGTTTGTTTTCTGTCGTAGATTAGTACTTTTCTAGTACTGATTATTGGTTATATATGTAGATAGAGGAGTCTACATCGTTGCGAGGTTAGCGAATTGTTATGTTCCTTTGGAACTATTGAGTCTATGTCTCATCTCATTGTAGCCTTAGGCTATTAGGATTACTATTGTACTGATCATATATATTTATTATTAATAAATACTTCCTTTCTATCAAAACAAAATATATACCCCCTAATTTATAATTGGGTGTATATACATTTTTTAATACATACATTTAAGTTTAGGTTTTATATTTACAAAAATTAAGTGCATAGCCTTTTAAATTATCCTAGAATCTTATGAGTTATATGAATATCGGATATCAACACCGAAATCCATGGATTTGATATTATCTAAATACAGTTTTAATTATCAAATACGATCGAGTCTTGTATTCGACTCAACCGTATTTTTATATTAATTGTTAAAGAGCTATATTCTTTAATAAAAATAATAGAGGTTATTAACTAAAAGTAACCTATTTGTTTAACCTATATAGCCATTTCTCCCTTTATAATAATGTATACTATTACAAGGCTAGCTAGCTAGTAAAACTATATACCTGAAGTCCGGGTTGTGGTCGTAAATTTACCATTGCAAGACCAGTGATCTGGAGGCCATCCTTCAATTCTACAACAAATGCAATTGTCGTTTAGGGAATGTGTTTTTTCCTTGTGTCTAACAAATGCATTTCTACAACATAACTCAGATTTTTTGGAAACTATTTTGTTTTAGTTGTACGTAATAGTATAACAAAAACAATATATTGCCTATGTCCCAATTTGATGGTCTGATTGCGATTTACGAGATTTGACTGAGGATAAAGCAAACAGATCCATTTCCGCACTCAATTTATTTTTAGTAAATAAAATTTACATATTCAGAAACTACATTAAAAGTTTTACAAAGTCGCAACCGGGAAAATCAAATTTAATAAAAGTTTGATACATAAAGTAAAAAATTAAGAGTAAAAGTTTGATCAAGTGAACAAGAAATAGGATAATCAAATTGAGACGAAGTTATTAGTATTTATAAAACATTTTTTTTTGTCTATATGTGGTTTCTTATTAGGAGGGGAGCAGGGGTGGAGATAGCCGGATAGGGAGTCATGCCAAGCCCCAGTCCACTCTATATTTCAAAAGTTCTTAGACCAATATTATTAGCATAAAAATTTAACGTAAATATTTATCCAAAGAAATCGTGATACCGGTCTAGTCTAGTATTTAATTTTAGTCTTTAATGATATAAGCGCATTACGTTTTTTTTAGCCTGGCTACAATGCAATTTCTCAGTAATTTCATGAAAAAATCTATAACTTGTACGTAGTACTACTTAATTTTATTTACCTTTGGAGGGTCGGATGGCAAGGTACCTTGATAGCCCACATGCAATCACTCCGAAAAGTACATCATTGATGGTCTGCACGATTCTTTAATTGACATACGAAGTATATTGTACAAAACTTACTGTAATGTAATAAAAATAAGTAACTACACAAAATAGAAGTAAAACATGAAAACATAGGAGTAATTTTGTTATATTTTCGATATAGAAATTATTTAGTTCTGTTAAAAGCATAGATTTTTCTAATTCGGAGTGAGTGAATGATCGATAGTCATATTTGTCTAAAACTGATGCCCAACTTATATATAAATGATACCCAATTAATATTGAAAATCATTGTATTAATAATAATATTAATATTTATGCAAATAACAATAATGATGATGACAAAAATAAAAATATCAACACCAGTAAAAGTAAAATTCCAACTACGAACTCAATATCAACATCGTCATCCTCCTTCTCCTCAATCACTGAGCTACTTCAAAGTTAAGGAGGAAGACCCGGCCCCCCTCAACTCCTATAGGTGGGATTGTGGGAATTGAACTTAAGATCTCTTATTAAGGAGAGTTGGGAGTGGGTGTTCACCGAGTGAGACACACCAACCTCCCCGGGCCGGTCATTATTTAGCATCCCCTCTCTCAATTTATGATATTGTCTCATGTTTTTTTTGGCATCTCATAAAAAATTACAAAGTATTTCATATCAAATTTGGTAATATATGGCTATATGCATCATTTTAAATCATTCCTAATTTATTTCTTATTTTATCAATTCATTATCAATCACATAATTATAATACAAACCTTTTAACTGTAGGTCAGTAGCACCATCTCCTCAATCAAATGTGGGATATGAGTAATACAATACTGGTTTATTTTCGGGTTTTGGAACTGAAGCCAAATTTAGTCGAGACTAGTTTCGATATTAATCTTTTGAAAATGGAACCGAATTGTACTAGGAAAAATTCCCGAAGTAGGAGAAAAATGTTTAGAAATTCCAAAATATGATTGTTGTGTTTTTCTTCCTGAAATAGGAGTTATATGGCAATATTTATTATCATATTGGAGTCATTATTATCAAAATAGTTGCAATATTAAGCATTAACACGATAGTATTTACTGCCATTAATGGAAGTATTTTTCAATCATGGTAACAACAACTCATATTTGAGGAAGATAAACATAGCAACCCTATTTTGGAATTCCGATCCAAAACGTTTTTACTCTTATTTAGGACAATTTGTTGCGGTAGTTTTGATTGTTTTAATTGGTTATATCCGGCCAGGTTTCATTATCTTAGCCTAATTAAGATTCTAATTCAGTGTTTCCTATCAGATCGGGAACTGATCCAATCCACATATACACTCCTAAGACAGGTAGCAATCTAAGAGCATCTCCAATGCTATTCTTTCAATTGAAGCTAGAATTTGCCAAATGTCAATTAAAAAGACCACTCTCTATCCACATAAAACACAAACCGAATGAAATAAATAAGAGACCTACAATGCACGGGGTATACCTCCATGGGAGGGACGTGTGGACGTTTGTTCCACACAATAGGGATTCCCAACTAATGAAGAGAATAGCCATGATCTGAGACTCCATTGTCTCCAAATTCACTACTTTGGATACGGCTATTGCTTTCCTTCAAAAGAATGCCCCTAATGGAAGGCTGGCAACACGAAAGGTCTATGAATTACTTAGAGTTAGAGCCACCCCTCGGGCGTGGATGTCTTTTATATGGAAACCTTATATACCCCCAAAGTTCTCATTCATCATATGGCTTGCCTTGAGAAACAGGCTACCTACGTATGATAACTTGGGGTTTCTTGATGTAATTAATATGTGCTCTTTTTGTAAGGGTGGTCCGGAAATGATACCACACCTATTTTTTGGTTGTATTTTTACAGGTCAGGTATGGGACATGGTGAGGCAATGGCTTGGGCTAAAAAGACGAATGACAACACTGTTGAGTGCGGTCAAATGGATTAAAGAAGAGCATAACGGAGCAAATATCAAAGCAAAGGCCATAAGGATTTCACTGTGCTACACGGTCTATTATTGGACATGGAGAACTAAAAATGCTATATGTTTTGATGGAGCTAAGGCTAAGGTGGAGGATATTGTGTCGCATATCAAGTATATGGTGTACAAAATTCTCTATTCGCTATACCCAGTCCATAAGATTACTTTTTGAAACTTTGGGGCTGTTTAGACCCCTATTTTGTCAATAGCTTGATGGCTGATTTTTGTGGTGGATAGCTAACTTATACGGTTAGTTATCGAATAGAGAGGAAGAGGCATCCTACATGAGGATTGGCCTATAGTTTTTGCTTTTTGTATATGATGTACATAAACATTCTTGGTTGATTCTATATATATTTACATTTCATAGAAAAAAAACAACTTGAAACCTGAAATTACGAATATAAACCAAAATAAAAGTAGTGGACAAGAATGTGACTCTAGTAACTTTAGTGACTATAATTAGATTCAAATGTTACATTGTGGTAACTATAAAACTTACTTGTTATGTGTGTGTGTATATATATATATATATATATTTATAATTATTTATTTAAATAAGAAGTGAAAACAAAATGTATGCTAGTGAAGGCCGGTCGCCGGAGAGAGAATCTAATAAAAAACAGTATATATTATTTATTGATTTGCATGTTGTATAAATATAGCATTGATAATTTTAAAAATATACTACCTCCGTCCCACTAAGATTGAGACAAGATAAAGTGACACAATTATTAAGAAAAGTGAGTTTGTGTGGTTTATATTAAATTGATAAAGTAAGAATAAGGTAAGAATGGTTTAGAGTCACACAATCTTTACCAAATTTGGTATGAGACAATCTTAGTGGGACTTCCCAAAAAGGTAAAATGAGATAATCTTAGCGGGATGGAGGGAGTAAATAGAAAATTTATTTTCAACCCGAACAAAGAAGAGTTGCGGTGTTTTTACTTGGATTTATTTGAGTTCCAGACTAAATCAGATTTCGACAATTATAAAAACATAGATTCGATATTTATCAGAACATACTCCCTCCGTCCCGTTGGAATGTTCCCGGTTTGACATACACACATATTAAGGAAATAAACTTACCAGGGGGTAAATTTTACTATTTTGACACTGTTTGGACACTGTTTGGCATTGTTTTGCACTGTTTTGCACTATTTGACACTGTTTTGATGTAGGATAACTTTTCATTTAGGGAAATGAGAAATTCTTTTTGGGACATCCAAAAAAGGAAAGCGGGAATATTCCAACGGGACGGAGGGAGTATTAGACGAGACCAAATCATAGTTGAGCACGATCCGAGCTCAAGCCAAATTGATTAGGTTCGTTCATACTCAACCCCAAGCTAATAAATTTGAAAGCTCTAGCTCTGTGGCAGTTGAAAACTAAAACGTGTGATCTATGAACCCGTAAGTGCTACTTACTACTCCCTCCGTCCCAGAAAATTCTTCCAACTTTCCTTTTTGGGACGTCCCAGAAAATTCTTCCAACTTCACCTTTTTGATTATTTGTGTGGCTCACATTCATTTCACATTTTTCTTACACAACTACAACCACACATTTCCACTTTATTCGCACTTTCTTAAACTCCGATCCAAGTCAAACTAGGAAGAATTTTCTGGGACGGAGGGAGTACTACCGATGTGTCATTCCTGTGGTAACAACTTTTGTACTATAACATGTATTGAAATTAAAACGGGTTATCTCCAATTCTCAAGCCCCAGCCCACACAAAAAACTAAAGGACGAAGGGGTACACTGCTGTCTTACAATAATGTTGAACCCAAAAGTTAAGACACCTCGTATCATGTCCCCTCAGTTTTGGCTAAATTTATTACGGAGTATCTCTTTTCCTCCAAATAAAATTTAGAAATTACTTAAAATAGGGCTAAAACTATGACAAAAAATCAAAATAGGACTTGCTATATTTTTATTCCAAAATAGGACCATAGTGGTCCGGAAACATACCCATTTCTTCCTTCCATTCTTACCCCTCCTTTAAATATTAATAAAAGATAGCTAAAAGTCATAATTAAATGTTTAATTCATAATAAATTCGAAAAAATTTAATAATTCATAGAAAAATAATAAAAACAATTAATAAAATTTTTATAAAATAAAAAATAAGAAAAAAAATTTATTTTTTTTTAAAAATTAATAAAAAATAGTAAAACTCCATAAAAAAAATTAAAAAAATATGGATACCTTTCCCACCGCCTGTACTACCTCCCTGAACCACCACCTCCGATCGGTGTAAAAAATGCCACTTTTTTTTTAAATTCCACAAAAATGGCATATTTCTCTATGAGAATGCCAACATTTTCATTCTACCAACTTGAATCCTTTTGACTTTTGCCAAAAATATGGCATTCATAATTTCTTTGGCATTTTTTTACCCCGGTGACAGGAGTTGGTGGTACCGCCTCCCTGCACCACCCCCTCCGACCGTTAAAGAAATGCCATATTTCCTACAAACTTTCATTTTTTTCGGAAAATGCCTAAAACATGGCATATTTCTCTTTGACAATGCCAACATTTTTATTTTTCCATCTTAAATCATTCTGAATTATGCCAAAAATATGAAATTCATAATAAATTTGGCATTTTTTCTACAAATGACTGGAGGTGGTGGTGCTGGGGCGGCAGAGGCGGCGGTGACAAAAAAAATCATTTCTTTTTATTTTTTTAATTTTTTTTTAAAAATTTAAATTTATTATTATTCAAAAATTTTTTACTATTTTTTTGGTATATTTTATGAATTTTTATTACTTTTTATATTTTATTATGAATTAAAACATTCCAATAGGTATAAGGGTATATTTGTCCAAGACACACATAATTAGTCCTATGAAAACATAGTTTATTTTTTGGTCCTATTTGTGCAAAGTGAATGACTTTTAGTCCTATTTTGATAATTAACTCAATAAAATTGAATAAATGTGTTTTTTGTAGAAGGTATTACACATTCACCGATTATCTAAGTCTTTAGGCGAAATTTGATACTAATAATCTCTACTTTTATACATTTTATAAAAATAATCCCTACTTGAAAAGTTCACAACAATAATACCAACAACTAGTTAACTATTTGACAAAAATAAATCGAGTGCTAATGGTGTTAAGTTTTTCTGTTATTTTTTTATTTTAAAAAACAATTCTATTTTAAAATAATATACTTTTAACATTACATTAACCATGAATGACTTCATTATATTATATATTCATCAAAACTATATCTCAAATATACTCGAGTTATTGCAATTAATTTTTTGTCTAAATAATTGTGTCATTTTATTACAAAGATAACATGTAATTGGGACGGAGATAGTACTAATTACCGTTTATAAGTACCATTTATAAGTACAATCACACTATGAAATAGTGTGATTAATATTATTTCACACACACAAAATGATGTGGTCTTGTAAGTTCTTAGAATAACTAAAAACGAAACTAGAATCTTTTATGGAAGTATGGAACTGCAAAAAGTTGGTACCAACTAGCAAGTGAAACGTGAGCGCAACGAAGTAGACACATTTTGCAAAAACAATTGAAATAAGGGGTTTTATCCCTAAATAGGACCAAATTATGGTAAAAACTTCTAAATGGGAGTTAATGTTTTATTATTCTTAAATAGGACTCCTTATTCCCGATTTACCCCCTAATATAATAAAACCCCATTTGTCCATCTTCCGCATCTTACTTCTCGATCGGCGTCTTCTTTTATGCATCGCCAAACTCATCTCCCATGGAGTATGGGGACTCTCTTCAGCGCACCACTCCGACCAGCTTCGGCACAAGTAATGCCCTCCTCCTCCTCTTTCTCTTCCTTTTTCTCCTTCTTCTCTCCTCCTCCTCCTCCCCCTCCTCTATTTTTTGCTCATCTTGCATTTATGATTATTTTTTATTAATTTATTCGATTTTTTTTTTATTCTCAATGGAAATATAATTTTCGGTTTGAAACTTTTGAATTCAAAACATTTGGGTATGAAAATTCGAGGCTCTTGTTAAAAAAATAAGATAAATTTTATTGTTGTTTATCTTTATCAGCTTGTAAGAAATGCCACATTTATGGCATTTTTTTCACGGAGAGTGGAAATATTGCATCTTTCGAAATGCCAAATTTTTAACATTTTCACAAATTGTGGCATTTTTAGGGCATTGAATTGAGTTTGTCGACAACATTGCTTCTTCATTTTTCTTCTCTTATTACACATTTTCAACTCTAAAATGTGAAAATACCATAATTTGGAATATGAAGATTCCATGTTTTTGCATGTAAAAATGGCACTTTTTTGTCATTATTGTTATCATAATTGCAATTTTGCCTGAAATTGATACCATACACTCCACATGAGGTAAACGTGACTAAGAAGATGCCAACACCTCCAGAGAAATTTAGCTATGACTCCATTATCGCTGCAGAAAAGGGTAAGTCGCCTCTCAGGAGGTGTGCAGCGGAAATCTCTATGGCGATAGCGGCGGCGGTCTCACTTGGCTGCGGCAGCGATCTCGACAACGGCGGCAGTGCACGGAAGGTGCTGAAGGAGTCAGTGGTTTGGAGTTCAGGCTATGTGCATCAACTATGTGCATTAGCTATGTGCATCGTCGAATACGGGGGGAGGTTTTATTTATTTATTTATTTATTTATTTAACCCTTAATTTCATTAAGGGCAATTTTGTCTAATCTGTTGATTTTTGGTCCTATAAAATATGAGAGTCCTAATTGTGCATTTCAACATTGATTTAGTCAGGAAATTATCCTTTGAAATAACTATTGAAAATATAGATTATCATAATATCACACTACGTACTACATACGAGTATGTGTTATTAGCAACAAATTAAAGAAACTTAGAATAATGACATACTATCTCCGTTCATAAAAACTTTGCCATCTTTGACTTTTCAAGTCAATGTTGGTAAAGTTTGGACCATGATTTTGATTAGTATAATATTATGAAAGTGGTAAGTTTTTTACTTTTATGGAAGTACTTCTAACATAGAACGTTTTCATATAATTTTTATATCATAAATAATTTTCTACAAAGATATATAATTGGTCAAAGTTGAATATGATTGACAAAAAAATTCAAAGATGGCAAAGTTTTAAGGGAGAGAGGGAGTAGTAAATTAAAATTGGATTTGGCTTATAAGTTCAAGAATTCAACAAAATGCTACCATATATTAGTATAATTTCAAATTAGTTGGATAGTTTTTATATATTCAAGTTGAGCTCATCATAGTATTAATTACGTTTCGGATTAAAATGAGTATAAATGATAGGATAGACTATTTGAGTGAGGAGCTATGCTTTATATACACATACATGGTCCTTTAATGAATTTGTACACATATGGTGTACACCACTACTAGTTTATGTATACAAAAGGCACTTTCTTAACAAATACTTGTATAATTATTGTCTTTCTAAACATAGATGCAGGGTAGATTATGTGTACAAAAAGTGTGTAAGCATCTTGGTGAGAGTGATGTGTGACTAATTGCAATGTGTTTTACTGTTGTCAAACAATGTTATTACCAAATAAATAAAGTCAACACATGGAGATATAACATGTAGGAAAGAGACTTACCGCGTCAGCAACCGCTTTCTTAACTGTTTTCATGTCGTTAATGGTGAACTTGGCGGTGGCCAACTTCCGCGGCCAGAGCTCCACCCCAGCGCCGCCGGTCAGAACCGTCTTCTTATCCTTCAGCCACAGACTTCTCAGTATAAACTCCAACACGTATACCACCGTGTAGCAGACCACCAATGCCAACTCCCTGAGGCCCCACCTCCGCCGCCGCCCCACTCCGACGTCACCCACTGACGCCGGCTGGCTGGGATCGCTGGTTTTCCGGCAGCAAGAAAGGAACAAGGACACGATCGAAATCCCATCGCCGAGGGCGTGGTGGATTCTGAGAACGGCGCATTTATGGGCGAGAAGGAAATGGAATTCCCACAGCGGCTTGTCGGAGGGGAGCGGCGTCGAGACGGCGAGGTCGGCGATGTAATCGTTGACGGCGTCCTCGTCCGACACGGACCGGTCGGCGGTGAGAGGCTCCGGGAGGATGACGAAGTGGTCGTCGATGTTGACTTCGGTTCTCCGCCAGCTTTCGCGGCCGTTGGAATCTTTGACCATGAGGCTGCTGAATCTTGGGTGTTTGACCAGCAGAGAGTCCGCGAAAGCCGCTTTAACGGCGTCTACGTCGAACGGATTCTTGACGCCGGCGACTGCGTGTATAATTTGGCTCATCTCCGGTTGGAGAAACATCCGGCCGGCAGGCGTCAACGGCTCATCTATCTGTAGCGACTCCATCTATTATCTATATAGTTGATCGTGTGGGAGATGGGATATATAGTTCGTTAATTTGGATGGGTATATATAGCCCCTTTTGGCGGACCTTCTATTTACGGCGCCATTTATAGCTAGGAAAGCTTTACCTAAATTAATTTCGCCATTTATAGGTAGATAGATAGAGTATCAATCAGAACTAAATGACAACGTACCTGCTTATCAACTATATATACTCCGTATTAATCATTTTTATCGTAAGTGCGTACTTTATTCCTCGTTCTGGGAAGTTTAGACAGAAGCTAGGGCTACGGACGCGGGCGGAGCCAGAAAAGTGTGCGAGGGAGTCGGAGTTTAATTATACACACTATCAAAATGATAGATAATTATTATACAATACTTGAATTAATGTTTCATATGTAGCTAAAATAAATGATAGTTTAATGAGCTCTTTTCAGTTAATGTATTGATATATATATGTAATGTATCATAATGGTCACACAACTAATGACTAAATAAGGTGTTTTATTTTTAAATTTAAGAATATAATCAACGTCACACATCAAATTTCGCTTATTTCAAGTTACAATGATGCTGATTTTTCCAGAAGTCATAACTTTTTACTCGTAATGAGTTACGAGACCCATAATATATCAAATCGAAGGTATTTCAGAGCTCTACATTTTTTAACTTTCATCAGGGTCGGCTGACCACCCTGACCCCCTGGCACCGCCCCTGAGTGGCGGACTTGTATAGTTCCAAAATGTTCACTTGAACATGTACCCACAATTAAAAAACATACAAGTATATAGTTGTAAATTTCATATAAATATATGTATTCTTCTTTAAATTTTTAATTATAAAAACAATGAATACTTAAAAATCAAGATCTATGTTGAGACTTAAAATCCAAAAGCATCGACTTGATCACTCTATGTTGAGACTTAGAGTCTCGAGAGTCGAGACTATGTTTAGTAATAAGGGCAGGATAGGCATAGATAGGCATAAATACGTGACTTTTGATTAGCACATTGAATTGTGTTATAATCAAGTTAAGTAATGTTGAAATCACTTTTAAATTGATGAGATTTCTCAAAAGAATTATTTTAACTATTTTTTCATATAATTTTTTCCTTGTTTATTAATAAAATGAATGAATTACCTAATTAACTAGGAGTAAAAGTTAGCCAAAAATCACAAATAGGACTAAGGGGTGTTTGGAACTGATATTGCTTCTGCATGCTTTGCTTTTTTTAATTTATGGTTTTTTTTTAATATTTCTTATTATATATTTTTTTTAAAATTTTTATTTTATAAATATTTTGTAAACTTTACTTCTTCTTTTTTTCAATTTCTATTATCTTATACGATTTTATTATGAATTAAAACATTTTATTATGAAGTAATAGTCTTTGTGGTATTTAGGGTGGAATTTAATGTTTAGTACTATTTGTGAATGATTTTAGGCTCTTGTCTTATTTTTGAAATTAACTTTCCATTTATTCCTATTTAGGTCAATTTTTATTATAAAACACTAACTCCGTCCCAAAAAGAAGTTCCGACTTTCATTTTATGGATGTCCCAAAAAGCATTTGTCATTTCAATAAGAGGAAACCACTTTTAATAATAAAAAGTCACAATTACTCTTACTTTATACCCACATTTTGCTTGATTTGACATAAAGCAAAGATATACTTGGAAAGTGAAAACAAAACTCTATCAGGGCCGATCCTAGCATTTTTTTGGCCTGAGTCGAATTTTTGTAAAAGACGCTTAAATAATGTAAAATTTGGATATTAAGATTTGTAAGCACTAATTTAATTTATATGCCTACATCAAATAATTAATCTCACATAGTTGCATGATATTATTTAGATTAATATTATTTATATTGTTGTTATCTTAATAAAATAGAAAAAATTGTATATACATACTACTAGAATTAAATTATTTATAGGCCCCTATTATTGACCAAATTTTTGGGACATGAGGCAACGGCCTCTTTGCCTCTAGAGAGGGTTCGGCCCTGAACTCTATCATACATAAATATGTGTGTCGGTCAAATCAGGAATTTAAATTTCGGGATGAAGGGATCGGAGTATATTTTAAAAATAATGTTTCCAAAGTTCAACATACTTAGGGTCTGTTTGCAACAACTTCTGCTTTTAAAAAGTGCTTTTTTTAATGAAATAGGGAGAAGTGATTAAATAAAAGTTGATAGTGTTTGAGAAAAAAGTGATTTTGAAAAGTAAAAGTGGATAGTGTTTGGTAAAATAAGTGCTTTTTGTATAATAGAAAAAGTAAAAACACTTTTGACGCGGAAGCCGATCGAGAAAAATAAAAGTTGTAGTGTTTGGGAAAATAAGTGCTTTTTAAAGCCAAAAGCTGAGAAGTGATTTTTTAAAAGGAGTTGCAAACCAACCCTTAGCCACATAAACCATAACTTCATCGATTTCAGCAGATTCAATCGATGCAATAATTTTCAATGTTACCAAACGGGCTCTAAATTACTATGTGAGAGAACTAATGTTCATCTTTAAAATGAAAATAGATTGATGAAATCATTTTGAAGTGCAAAATATGGTAGAATTAGGATGTTTTTAATCGAGCTTTTTTCTGTCCCAAACCACACCTGATCAAACCAGACTAGGATAGTTATAAAATACATAGAGACCAAATATTTACCTGACCGGACCAGACATGATCGTAAATACTATACTTAAGGAGTGTTTGTATTTGCTTAAAAAAAGCGCTTTTCAGCTTTTGACTTAAAAAAAGTTGAAAAGAGTGTTTTCAAATGACAGCTTCTGCTTAAATTAATCACTTAAAAGCTAAAAGCTGGAAGCAGGTAGAAGGGTGCTTTAAACTGCTTCTCACTTTTTCTATTACACAAAAAGTACTTATTTTACCAAACACTACCAACTTTTACTTTTCCAGAATCACTTTTTTTTCAAACACTACCAACTTTTACTATTAATCACTTTTCCCAAAATCACTTTAAAAAATCATTTTTTTAAAGTTGAAGCAATTGCAAACACTCCCTTATACGGAGGTTAACCGGTTATGGAGCGTTTCACCCATGCACCTAAACCGATTGAAACCAAACTAGGAATTGTGGTACACATTAAATGAAAATATCTTATTTTTTTCACCATAAAAGCACAACACATAACTGTGGTGGTGTTTGGATGGATGTAATGGTGCAAACAATTAAAAGGAGAAAAGGTTGAAGAGCTCAAATCCTTTGTATTCCGATCGAGATGGATATCTCCTGCATATCTCCTACTCTATGTGGATGACATCCTTCTCACAGCTTCTTTAGATGCCCTTCTTCACCGATTTATCACGTTGATGAAGCGAGAGTTCTCCATGACTGATCTTGGCTCCTTACATCACTTCCATGGAATTATTGTGACTCGATCTCCATCAGGTCTATTTTTGTCACAATCTACCTATGCTCAAGAAATTCTTGCTCGCGCTGTTATGACCAATTGCAAACCCGTGGCAACTCCCGTTGACACGTCTGCCAAGCTTAGAGCATCTCCAATGGGGATTGTCTATTCTCTTACACACTCTTACACATGATCACACTACTAGAAAAACTGCTTACAGTGACACTATTTTAGTGACACTATCCATTATATTAGGCATTTATGACACTATTTTATCAGCCTAACTGATTTTACCATCTATAGTGACACTCAAATTTTAAGACGGAGTAAAAATTATACGGAGTACTTTTTACGGAGTGAATAGTTAAACTCCGATCCTGTCCCCGACCTAAAGACCTCGATGCACAGACACATACCTAAAGCTCTCCACCTCTAGAAGTGGAAAGACTATGAAAGTCCATATCCGGAGATGAAGAGATGCCATACACACGCAGCCCAGACTCCCGAGTAGAAGAGTCCGCCTTCAATGCGCAGCCTAGACTCCGGAGTAGAAGACATCGCCGTCTATGCGCAACCAATGTTCTAAAAATCGGGCTAGGCGGCCGCCTAGGCGCTGCCTAGTCGCTAGTCGGTCGTGTGGCGCAAGGATTATACTAAAATCGGGTGATGAAGTCGGGTATCCAACTTTTCGAACGCCTGGGCGATTAATCGGCCGACTGATACAGTAATCGGCGATTTAAGAAAATCGGCCATAGGTTTTAGTTGATAAATTCCGCTGCTGCCTGCCCACTTTATTTTTCAGATCGAGACTTATCTGCTTCCTTCTCTCCCAACTTCACCTCCTCTCAATATTTCTGCTCTTTAGCGTCAACGAATGACCTCCAATCAGCCTGTTTGAAGTGTCAACCTCTCCACCGCCAGGCACCAGCTGCACCAGCCAACACTTTTCACATGTAATCTCTTCACTCTGTAATATTTTTTTTTCAAAATTTTCAGCTTTTTAGCAAATTCGAAATATGGTTTGTTGTTTATATATTACGAACATGGAAGTCAATACATATGAATGTGTGTGAAATTGTGAATGATTGATAGAAAGTTAGAAGTAAATTTAAGAAACTTTTAGTGTTGGAATTGTGTATGTTAACTGTTTGACAAAAGTCCTCAAAGAATTATAAACCGTTTTTTTTTAACTTTTATAGGCTGGGATTTGGATAGATGATCGTTCTTGCAATACTCATAGTTTATCAAGCTAATTAAGTTAATTATTTCAGAATGGACTCCTATTTTTTTATCATTTAGGCTCCAACTTATTATTGTTTTTCAATCATTATTTTATGGAGTATTTCGATCATTGTTTTATTATTTCAGATTGAACCTCCCTCAATGGAGATGTTGTTTATATGTTAAGGTGATTAAGTTTACTTTAAGTTGATCTGTTAATGTTAATTAAACCTACTATAAATCTAAAACCTTTTGTAAGTTTATTTAAACTTAAACTCTCATGTTTCTCTTATAATTTAATAAAACTCACTCAAACTTTTCTCTTAACTTAAACTTAAGTTAATATATGAATAACTCACTCAAACTCACTCAAACTTTTCTATTAACTTAAACTTAAGTTAATATATGAATAACTCACTCAAACTCACTCAAACTTTTCTCTTAACGTGTGAATTTAATAAAACTTACTCAAACGTTTCTCTTAACTTAAACTTTTCTGTTA